AGTGTACCAGCTCCAAGGTAGGAAATGCACCCCCAAATAATCACAGAATAGTCCTCCCTTTTTGCTGAAAAATCAGGGCACCTGCTGCCAAAACAATATCGTCTGTACTCCTCACCAGGCATTCTCCAAACTTTTGTTATTTTTCACAAGAATAATTTACTTTCTCATCACTAAATATCACTTTGGACCAATTAATTTGAGTTTTCCAAAGAAAATGTGTCCTACACCATGACATTCTCTTGTATCTGTTCATAGCACTTACTGTTAATTTCTTCCTCACTAATCTTTTCCTGTAATTCAGCTTGTGGAGACGTCTTTGAACAGTCCTCTTACTTACTTTAGTTGGTAATGCCAAAAACTCCTTCAAAACTGCCTACCACGTTTGGGCATGTTCTCTTCATTATTTTCCACTTGAACTCTCTGTAAAAACTTGGAAATGGTGCTTTGATCCCTCTGGGCGGCATCTGCACCTCTGACATGCTTTTCCTTCTCTTCCCCATTTTGAGAAGTTGACCTTGAAGACGCAGACGACGAGAGTACCCCACCCCCCTACATTACCTGTGACCCCCTGAAAATGTACCCTGTGAAATTTGACACATCCCCCATCATTTTGTTGCTTGCGCACGCACCAGGCATTTTAACTTGACCCACACCTATTACTCACCACTGCATGGTGGCCATTTTATGACATAATTATGGCACGTCACTGTATGTACATTTCTTATTATACCTATCAAACATATCTTCACGGGCGAACTTTTAATTTCAAGGGGCAGTGTGGTAGCCTCGTGGATAAAGCGTTCGCTCATCATGCCGAATACCCAGGATCGATTCCCCACATGGGTACAGTGTGTGAACCCCATTACTGGTGTCTCCCGCCATGGTATTGCTGGGATGTTGCTAAAAGTGACGTAAAACTTAATTCACTCACTCTTAATTTCAAGGGACGGTAACGTAGTCAAGTAGCTAAAGCGTTCGGGTCGTCACACCAAAGGCCTAGGTTCGATTCCCAACAATGTACAATGTGTGAATATGGAATGCTCTGTTGTATGTATCAGTTGATTGTAGGCGGATGGAATGAGACAGCATCTGTCTCTGTTGATTGAGGGCTCAAAGAAACACGTTTCAGAGTGAAACACAACAACCAACATAATACAGTACTAACTTTGAGCAGCAAAACCCTTACATTTGTTGTGACTTAAAATCTTAACTCTCACTCACCCTTACATTTGCACAAACATTTCTCCTCGGCCAAGGCCTGATCTTCGGAAACATGTGTATACATACACACATAAAATCATAAGACAACATTTCATATATTCAACCAACCTATGTAAAGTATTCTCTTTGACTGACACTTTAGATATTGATAAGTAATATGAAAGACATGATCCTTTATGGACGACAACTTCTTATTACATTATAATGCAACGTTTCGGTATAGATAGTTATACCGTTGTCAAGCAAGACTGAGGTACTACTGCAGAGAACTGACTTATAAACATCTAACAGGCATTGGCAAAGGCAGCATGATAGTTTGCATGAAAGGGTTTAACAATAACAAAAAGTAATTGGTAATTTTGGCAATGATAACTGGAGTAGTGTGTTGTTCTTTATCAGTTCATTCCACGCGGAATAAATGAGAAATCTTTAGTCTCTGATAATTTAGGGCTCAAAGTAATACAACCTATCAGTGTCTAAAAAAACAATACGTCAGTACTAACATGTAGCATCAAGACCCTAACATTTGCGCAATCATCTTTCCTCGCCCATTCCATTTCGAGCCATGATCAACACTGAATAATTCACCACCAGCGTTGGAAGAGGCTTCTAACAGCTGGCTCCACACGATCGCGTATCCCCACGATCAGATTACACACAGCCCACACAGTATCCCACCTTCCAAAGAGTCATACCTGAGGACTTCGCCAGTGGCCTAAAACTACTGGCTCATAACGTTCATATCGATTATCGACAACCCCTGCCATCAGATTACAGTCATCAACAAGATAGCCTTCCAAAAGAGACATGCCAGTTGAAGGAGCAAGCCCATATTTCAAAACGGTGTGTATTCCTTAAAGAAGCTGCCTTATCTAAAATATCTGCCTTAAATCCATATTATAAACTCATTAAACACCATGAATCTATTCCTTGGCGTCAATGTGGACGTTGTAACGTAACGTCTCTTCAGCTGTTATTCGATATATAACGAGCGTTTAAGTATAAATGAAAACAAATGACAATCGTTTGCAATCAAAAGCATTTTATTGGATTTTCGAAAGAAAGTAGTAATTACGCTCAGGAAACATAATTCAAAGCCGCTCACAAACGTGACCCAGGTCCAACCTAAAAACACTTTTATTGTAATTCGTGTTGTAGTGTCAATCGTATCAACGACATGGCAAGACTTTTCTTTTTGGAGGTAACGGAGTTTTGTCTCTTTACGTTGCAAATGTATTTTCAAATATATTTATACGAGGACATCATAGGATTAGGGATTAATTGATTGTGCTGTGCAGATTTGTAAGACTGATAGCGACAGTAAATGGATTTTTATCGCATTTCAAATTTCTCCAATTCTTCGGATTGTAAATCAGGTAATGAAAGAAAACAGATTTAGCTTCAGATGTTTTATCAGTTGTCAGGATAGTAGTACACGCAATATACCACAGTTACAGGGCATGGCCACTCCTAAACTTTATGAAAACGCTACTAAGATGAAAAAAGTCCACGAAACACAGCTCCCATAGGATTGAAAACACACTAACGATTCTACTATCAAATAGTCACAATAGACCAATCGTTCCTCAGATTAAATATACTACCTATCAAAAGTTTAGACTCAGTTATGGCAATGTCAGTATCTTGGAGGAAAATAGCAATCGTGTTAAAAAATCAGCAACAAACACAACATCACTCATTTATGGTTTTAATCCGTATGAAATGAGGACGTGTACATTCCTCAAAACTTTTGTAAAGAACCGTAAACATGGGTACTGTGAAAAAGTGTGTTTCAAAAGTCAATAATGGGTATGTCCAACCCTGGCTCTGGCACAAGCATCGCACCGACGTCTCATGCCACGTACCAAGTATCCAAGCTGCCTCTGGGGGATGTTCTGCCACTCTTGTAACAAGGCATTTCGAAGCTGGTCAAGGGTAGCAGGGGGAGGAACTCTGGCGTAAACACGGCGTCCCAGCATGTCCCACACATGCTCTATGGGGTTGAGATCGGGTGATAACGCTGGCCATTCCATACGATTAACCCTGTTCTGCTGCAACCACGCTGTTACGATGCGAGCTCTGTGGGGCCTAGCGTTATCATCTTGCAGAACAGCCTGGCCTGGCATGGCCCGCAGGAAAGGAAGCACCACAGGAGCGAGAATCTCATCGCGATACCTCTGACCCGTCAAGTTCCCATCCACTACCACTAAATCGGTTCGTCCAGTCATTGAGATACCGCCCCAGACCATAACGGATCCACCTCCAAAATGATCGTGTTCAACAACGTTAGCGTCAACGTAACGTTCTCCCTGACGTCTGTACACAGGTATTTGGCCGCCTTTGAAGTGCAGTTTGAACCTGGATTCGTCGGTGAACAACACACGTGACCATCTGCCTGCACCCCATCTCAAATGCCCATTAACCCAGTCCAATCGAGCCCGACGGTGACGTGGTGTAAGAGGGGGCCTAACGGCAGGACGTCTTGCACGCAGTCCAGCTCGACGTAACCGGCGCCTTATCGTGGATACAGAAACATGACGTCCAGTGGCGTGTCTGAACGTATCGTTGACTGAGGTGGCTGTGATGTGTCGGCTCCTGAGAACGATCAATCGGATGTAACGATCATCCTGTTGCGACGTCACTCGTGGCCTACCCGATCTTGGCCGATCCTGGACAGAATTCGTCTGTTGAAAGCGTGTCCAGAGGTTGGAAATGGCCTTCTGGGATACACCATGACGCCTGGCTACATAACGTTGTGATTTCCCATCTTGTAAGAGTGCCAAGGCTTGATGTCGTTTTGCATTGGACAAACTTCTCCCTCGACCCATGCTGACGGAGAAGTGAAATTTGGCCCCTATCCTCACTGAATCAATTTCAAACCGTGTATAGGTGAAATGCACGAGGTTCATACTGCAACATGTTGTGATGCACGTGCTCACACCGTGCATGCTCATGGCTGCGTTTGGCTTGACAATTTCATGACATTTTCATCATTTTCACCAAAATTGTACCAGGTATGGATTTCAAAATCCTTAGGCATCAAGGCTACGAATATGCCGAACAGTATTTCGAGTTATGCCTTATTCCACACATGTGAAAAGTTCATTAGTTTCGGGCTATTCAAGTAGTCAAAAGTTAATTGAAATAGGGTAATCTGTTAACAGGGGTGAGTCTAAACTTTTGATGGGTAGTATATTTGCAATGGTCAAAACGGGTGCATAGGTTGTTTTGCCGGACATTCAGTTCGACAACAAGGATGGGTGTGCATTCTTCACCAATCTTATTTATCCGGTCTGGTTCACAAGATGTGAAACAAACAGATACATGTGTAGCAAAACATATCCAATCTCACTCATCTTAATCACATGGTGTATTAAAGAGGAAAACGCCGAAGCCTGTCAAATCTGTAACCGTGGCAATGCACCTCGACGCAATGGGTCTGTCTGGTAACTAGACGCAAAAGCCAATGCAACAAATAACTACAATGACGCAGGTGTTTTTTTAACAATACACACAAGGACATTGCATACTCCAGCCGACCTTTCATCTATTGCTTTACAGCTGTTTTCTGGTAGCAACATAGAAAATGAGAGTTATATGAAAATAGATCAAGCAGGGGAATATATGTGAATGCTTTGATACAGCACAACCGACATAAGCGGATTTTGTGTGTGTCTGTGTTAATTAAAAGAAAAGACTTGAGTGCATTTAAGCGATATACTTTCCAATAAAGATTTGTTTGGAATATAAAGATTATTCCAACAACAAATTAAACTGAATTAGTAGCCGTATGGATAATGCTTGTGACTCTTTTCGGACTTCAGGTCGTCCTGCTTGTCTTCTTGCTTGCGTCTTTTCTTCATCAGCAGGAAGCACATGTACATGATGACGATGATAAGCAGCAGGGTGACGACGCAGACCACGATGATGGCCGGGAAAATCACAGACATCTCCAGGAGGCAGTTCTGTGCAGTTGGAGAAACTTCAGTTTCGGCTGGAAAAACACATCAGTTAGTTACATCTCCTTTTATATATGTGTTTCGCCTGTTTTATGGTGCGTGATCATCGATCTCATCGCCAGTAAGTCTTGACATATACCATTATAAATTATATCATTGTTCAGGTTACGTCATCCTCGTTGTGATATTTTCACAGTGATGAGAAAAGTGATATCTCACTGTAGTGATGAGCACTTTTCTCACTGTTTAGCATGTAATAAATCTCAAATACAGTTCACTGGATTCTTTTTTCATGCTTGACACCAATCGAAAGAAGGTGCAGGGTCCAGTTGAATTTGGTGACCTTGACATATGTTTTAAGGTCACGGTGACACATTGAAGATTTCAGCAGACCATCACTATCATTCCGCTTTAATTTTGGGGTTCGAATCCCCACATGGGCACAATGTGTAAAGCCCATTTCTGGTGTCCCCCGCCGTGATGTTGCTGGAATATTGCTAAAAGCGGCAGAAAACCAAACTCAGTCAGTCTTTAATTTAGAATTGTCACCTGAGGAGATTATGTCAACTTAGTCACAATAATTGTATATTTGAATATTTGCACCTAGTTGTTTCCTGTTAATGAGATCATTTAGCTTGCATTGGCAAATACATACAAATGTTATTGTTTATTGTGGAATATATGTTTGGCTTCAATGCAAGCCCAATATTTTGTGATATGCACAACACCACAAGTGTTTATGTGATAGTGTAAAAATCATGTTGAAATAACAGATTGGCCTTCCTAACTTATTGATATCTATTTACCTTCATGGATTGTGATATAGCTCAATCATTACTTTATTTATAATGGCTTATTGAATATATTACCAGGACTTGTCAATACTTTTTCATTTATAACATAGATGTGTCCATAGCTGTTACATCAAGTGATTATAATGCTAAACTTGTATATCCCAAATGTTATGTATGACTTTAAAATCAAATGTACATGTATTAATGATATGAAATACAAAATACAATAATGCAATCAATGTAACATTTTAGTGTTAAGATTTTTTTTTTTGTTATTTCAAAATAAAATTATTAAATGAATACTCCATTGTAAAGATAGTTTAGAATAATATAACCATTTCAGTCAATGGTGAGTAATGCCCAGTGTGTCGAATTTCTTAACTATTCACCTTTTTTGCTTAAAATATCAGATAAATGTTAACATGGATGTACTTAAGGGAAGATATTTTAATTGTCAATGCAGTAGAATTATTCAATTATTAGAGGAGAAACTATTTAAGCCACATATATCCTTAATTTTATCATAAAAAATACATAACATTGGTGCAAATATGTAATATAATGTTACACATTGTGTCATAGCGGAAAAAAATATCCTCAGTGACGCATGTTTTTTAATACTTATTTTTATAGCAAAACATGTCATTAACATATCGGAATTTCGAAAACTATTACAAATTATGAAAATGAGGGATCATGTAAAATGTTTGCTGATTTTCCCATAGACCTCCATTTTAAAAATCTTGGCTAACCAAGGAATCGGTAAGACTCCATATCTCAAGAAAACCCACAGCACCCCCTGCTTTTCTGGGCTTTTTTGCAAAGACAAACGTCATACATTAAAAATATACCAATTAGATAAAAAGTTTAATACTAAAATTTACATTACCAGCGAAGATCCTTAAAATTGCATGAGGTATAATATGTCTACATTTAATTGCTGACAATAATTCAGTTTAATCAAGATGATAGATGCAGGTGAGAACATACTGTTTGTCTGCGATGCTGAAGTGGACTCATCTTCGAAGTAGACAGTGTGGTTGGCTGTTGCCTCAACTCCGCCGGTATTCGTTTGACGCTTCTTCCTCCTTCCGGTTGCTCCGCATTGTGTCTTGAAATAAATACACGAGGCACATACATACACATATATACTCAAAAAGACACTTTACATCAATTTACAATCTGAAAGGACGCAATATGAACCTTTGGTACATATAACAGTTTTTTGGGTTTTTTTTATGATAATTTGTATTGACACTTTTTATCAAATTCATATGTCATCAACAATAGATTGTATGTCGAAAACTGATGCAACGGCAGTTTTAGGTCGAGGTTTTTTGTTACAGGCCCTCGTGTCTTTGCGAAGATTAAAGACTAAGAAAAATATTTTTGAGATGCCCCCACCCCCGCCCCCACCCCCGACTCGAAATGCTACATTTTGACAAGGTCGAACACTTCGGTGCACCCCACCCGCTTGCTTTGCCGATCACTACGCTTCCATCGCAACAATCGGCATGCAATCCGCACAAAACGGGGTGTTATCGAAGCCAGCCCACTGATTGGTCAACGCTTGTAAATCTGCACATTCTTTATTAATTTTCGTCGTCTGCTTAAGGTAAGAATATTTTTAGAACAATGGCTTCTCAAAAGAATGCATCAGTTGTAAATGTCTTCTGAACAAGGATCAACCAACCAGAGGGCTTGTTTCGACCACACACCCGTTTTGTGAGGACACATCGTCATCCATTGTCATCAAGATCGTTTAGTAGATAGTCAAATTCGGGTTTCTATCGACAGAAATAACAATAAAATATAGTTGCGGGCAACGATGAGGTCTCATTGGCTTTACTTTCTATCTATTGCATCTGAGGGCTAGATATCATCGTCCAAAACGGAGCCAGAACACATGTTTTGACAGGCGAGCGGATCTTTCAAATACAGCCGGGGTCACGGGGGTCATGTTAAGTAGTTCCGGAGAAGAAAAGGCTGTATCTCAGTTGTTCTTGGGTCTACGATCAAAACAATTAGTGTTCTGGAATCACCAGGACATCATCTACCATACTGGTTGGAGCAAACTACTCAGAATAGCTGAAAAGAAAAATAACTGCCAAACGGCACGTTTTAGCGACTTGACCCGTCCAGGCAAGATTGTTGGGTATTCGATTGTGCACCTGTACAAGAAATTTGGAAGTGTCGGAACAATTAGTTCTAGAGATATTTGCTGTCAAACGTTGAAATTTTGGAATTAATTTTGAATTATCGCCCCTTTGCTATTGAGCCAAGAGCCTAGAGATTTTTAAGGGGAATATCTACACCTCGGTGCGCATCTGTGTGATTTTTTGTAAGTGATTCGGAGCATTGGTTTAGGAGTTATGTTTGGTACAAACATCGGCGGAATAATAAATAATAATAATATAAATAATAATCCGAACGATTACAATAGGTCTCCTGCCTAGAGGCAAGGAGCCCTACAAAATCGGTAGGTTTCATAAAATGTGATCGATAGACCAATTATCCATGATTATCTTTACATTAAGTTTGAAATCGATTGCATGCGATGGTAGCGTAGCGATTGGCAAAACAAGCGGGCGGGGTACAAGTGTTCGGCCTTGTCATAATGTATTGTACTGTGCAGCATTTCCAGTCGGGGGAGGGGGGGCATCTCAGATGTTATATATTATTTTAACATCTTTAATCCTCGCAAAGACACGAAGGCCTGTGGTTTGTATGTACAACCTTAGGCTGCAATCTGCCTTTGCAGTTGAGAAATGTTCTCATTACCTTACAATATTATACGTCGCAACTGTATTGATTTGAGCAGTAAATAGACCATTGATAAATAAAGTCATTTGTTGTACCGGGGCGTAAAATAAGGCTTTACGTGATCCAGTGATCTTTACGCCTTCCCATCCTATCGAGGTTTCTGCTCGGTATTATTACGTTCGTTAAGACTTCATTAGGATCTAGTTGCCCATATATCATAATATAAGAACATACATTCATCATTCTGTCTATAAACGTTTACTGGTACTTTTAGATAGGGCAGAAGAAGTGGGACACCCAAGTAGGTATTAATAAATTACATGCAATAAAACCCTACATTGGTTACACCTACTTGGGTTGTCAGTCCAGATTCGAAGAGGTCATTATGCGCCGATGTCGCATTGGCCACACTAGATCTACTCACGAATATTTACTGAAAGGCGAAGATCCTCCGTTTTGCATCCCTTGTGATTACAGAATCACAGTCAAGCATGTCCTGCTTGACTGTGTTGAATATTCCATCACAAGGGATAAGTATTTTAATGTCAAAACATTGAAGGATCTTTTTTATAATGTTAATTCTCATTTAATAGTTGAATTTTTAAAAGAATTAGATTTGTTGACTGATCTGTAAAGAGCTAAATATTTTATTGTTGGTAGTTTATATTAGTAACTGAGATTGTTTCTGGCTGTACCCTCAAAGGGGGTTGACGTAGCGTAAAATTATTGTCCTCCTGAGAGGGTACGTAAGCCCCCAAACTTTCAAAGTCAATTTCAACTTGCCAGGATTTTTAGACGTAGCATTCTTGTCTTTTTAATTGAAGCTATCATTTCTTACAATTGCCAGCAGCTGAAGGGATGGTGTAAATCCAACTAGGGTCCATGCAGGTAGCCAAGGTACTGTAAGTCCCCATGGTCCCTAGTTTGGTGATCTACCTTCTGGTGTTGGCGATCTATACCTTGTTTTTATATTGTATTGTCCAAATAGTGTTATCAGTTTTAACTCTCCATACTAGTTTTAGTTGTAATTGTGATATTCTAGTTGTTTTACTGTCCTTCGTCGGCAGGTTTTTATAATATACATATGTTTCATTTCAAAATCAAATATGTTCTCGTCACGATATGGCTGAAATATTGCCGATGTGACGTTAAATAATAACTCACTCACTCACTTTTAGATAGGCTATGTCCTTTTTCGAGTTTGTATCGCGGCTATTAGTTCAGTTGTTTGAATGCTAGTAATGGTATTATTATGTTTTACAGATTAAAGATGAAAATGCAGCAGAGAGGGTTCGGATGATCCTGGCACAGTCAGGGTAGTAAGGCTCATCGTCACTCATCGTCAGCTCAGGGCTCTCGCCCTATCTACACGCAGCCCAGACAGCGAATGGGACTTCTCCGAGGAAACGCAGCCTAGTCGAACCCACCAAGAACTTTCCGGAGAATATGAAAGCTCTCAAAACACTGCAGCCTTCTGCATTACCCAGAGTGTCAGAAGGGCTGTGCTCCCGGTGGAGAACCTGGGCACTCTCCTCATCTGCGCCAAGAGATCAGGAGGTACCAAACCAAGGGCACCGAGAACAATAGGGAGCCTGACGACAGTGTACTTAGGATACAAGCGAGATATTTCAAAGGCGAGGTCCGCATATTTAGCATGCTTGTCCTGAATCTTGCCAATCATGTTGCTGTCAAAAGAGACAGAAAATTCAATGATATAAATATATACATTGACTTTATCAAAAAGGACAAGATCCACAAAGGTTTAAAAGCATCATTTTCCATGACGCCCTGGACTAGTTCAGGGTCGTACCATGGATGGACCTTGGAATCAAAGCCACAGGCATGGCGCAGACGATAGTAAAAGCAACGGGCCATGCCATCATGTCGTTTAAGATATGGTATTTGTGCCAAGGAAGGGCATCCACTGACAAGATGCTGGACAGTCTCTGTGAATTCATTACACAACTGGTGCAGTCACTAGGCGCACCAAGTTCATGTGGCTTTCCCATCCTTACGAGGTACCCATTCACAACTCGGTGGACTGCACGTTGCTGTACCCGCCAACTAGGTGTTTGCACGTATTCATGTGGCCTCCGTCCGGTCATTTACCAACTGATTCGTGGGTTCTGTTAAGTGCACAGGGCTGTGTACTATACATTAGGGGTTGTGACAACACTGAAAGAGTCGGCACACAAAGTTGACTCAAAGGTGGGCTTGATCCCGGCACCTTAAACTTGCTGGATAACTAGTCTGGTGCCTTAGACAATTCGCCCACACGCCCCATGTTTTTCTTACTTTAAACAGGAACAAACCTTATTACGTTTGGAACTTTGAAGGATCCCAGTTAGCTAGCACAGGAAGGACAACAATAAATGGATGAACTCATTATTAGAATGAGAGTGACGTTTTGGCGTAGGTTCGAACACCCTTATCAAGCAAGTGATAGTGTTAGAATCTACACCGAAACGCAACTCTTCCTGTAATGAAGAAGTTGTTCACCCATGTTGTGTTATTCTTCCTTACTGCTCGAACTTCTTAATACCTCTCAAAGAAGTTAGCTGGCATAGATTGTTTCAGGCACAATTGGCCTGATCACTATATAATGTGTAGGTAAGTCCCTTTTCATTCAAAGTGTTTATCTTTCTCTAAATTTTAATCGTAGCATACTTGTTCATTTAATGTATGGCTACTTTGCTAAAAACAATCGCCAACACCTGAAGGTATGATGTAAATCCAGCTAGGGTCCATGTAGGTAGCAAAAGTACTGTAAGTCCCCATGGTCACTGGCATGGTGATTGTTGTTGGCAACCTATAGCCCGTTTATATATTGTATTGTTCTATTTAATAATAGCATTTTATGATAGCATGCTAGTTGTTACCGTCATATCTGTGATATACTAGTAGTTTTACTATTCTTCGACAACAGACCTTTAATTTCTAATTGTATTGTTCTATAAAATAACAATGAAATGTTCCCGTGACGATATGGCTGAAATATTGCCGATGTGACGATAAATGTAAACCCACTCACTCACTCACTCACTATATAGTGTTGGTGCATTGGAATATGCAGTCCTGACTCTCCCTAGACACCGATTCCATTTTGTGTGAAGGTTAAAATAGCTGTAGAAAATATATTAACGGTCCACTGAAATCTATAATAATATTAGGTGTTCGATAACAGGGTAAACATATTGTGCGCTACCAGGAGCACCTGCTATTCACAGAAAATCCCTAAAACAGTGAGTATTTAGAGCCCGACACTAAACAGCACAACTCCTGCCATGTGACAAAGACAATGAAACAGATTAATGACTATTGTATAGAAATTCAGAGATTCACCTGAGTACAAGTAAGAACATATGTGTTGGAAATAGATAATCTCCACGTACCAACTGACAGCTAGCTTGATCCCCTGCGAGGCACAGCCTGTATTTCATATCATGGATCACAGCTGCAGGTCCTGGTCGGAAGTAACCTGGTCTGTACCGCATACAAATCCTCGTGTCACTGACTCTGCGTGGATAGGAGTGCACGATAGCCTTGCCGGACTCGTCGCTGCATCTATAATAAAGACAAATAACCATTCCAATTCCGGCCTCACCAAACATACGTCTACTGATAGTTGGTAATGGAATCATCTCAGAATACTAGATTATGCTTGACCATGATTTGGGGAATGAAAAGGTTTCGTCAGAAACATCCTGTTTGTAAATGACCACTGTAGATCATCGCCTGCATTCCATGCAATGTTACATTAATGAACTGACATTTGTATTAGACTGAGTATTAGGCGTCACGTTGTCAACATTCAGATATTGCAACACGAATAAAGCTTCAATTTTGAATTTAGAAATCTCATCGATTTTAACATATATGTTTCATGCCAGTAGATTCAACAACAGTGAAATGTGAAGAATTTGGGGTGATTATGGAGACACCTTTTCAGGGTTCTTACCCATCATTTCCATACACCACTGCCTCTTTTCGCGAAGAACCCCTCTGACCATTATGGACGATTATTCGGATCAAGCCAATATATGCGAAGCCTGCAAAGATTAATGATTAATGAAAGTGGCACAGGCGTGGAAATCAGGCGTTCAAATGGTGTTTCTGTTTAATGCTGTTGTCAGCTCTACTTGAAACATGTCGTGAGGTCTTCCTACTTAGCATTATAATGTTGTTACCATGGCAACCCTGAGTCTTTCGCTGTTATTAAAACCCCAAACCGATTGGACATTAAAATTCAAACCTACCCTCATCCGTTATGTCTAAACACAATTGGTAGATTTGGTTCAGAGGAAGTGGACTATCTATAGGGCGGCCGTTATTGAGCGTGGGGGACAGCTTCACGCCCAAAAAATTTAAGGTCTCTTGCTGTTTGTTGATATTGTCCCTGGAATAACAAAACAATCAATTCTATATCAAACATACAATCCACACTTAAGATTCAGATATGTTATTATCAGTTATAAGGAATTCCATAAATCTGTTCCTCTACTCACGTTGCTGTGTCTGCTAGGATGGCATCTGTGGAGATGGTTTGTCCTGCTTGGTTGACACAGCATTTAGCGTACACAACTTCATCTGTGGCCGTCATCATGTTAGGGTTGTACTGGATGCGGTATGGAATTGTATAACACACATTCCCATCCTGCTGGACAAAATGACGACACAATGCATTATGGCGAAACTAAAAGGAAGTATTCCTCATCGCCTACCTTTACTATGCCCCTTGCATTTAATGCATGTCATGGCAATACATGTATGTATGCAAAAGTAAATTTCACAAATATACATGCATAGCAAATCTTACATATTAAGCGGTGTCTTGCCTATTTTAAATAGTTCTTAGGTTTATCAGCGATGTACATCTGAATGAATGATGTCATCTATTATTGCGTATATGGATATCCCCAAAAGCGATATTTTCTAAATAGAAAATATATGCAACTTTTTGTGGACCAGGTGTATTTATTCGAGAATAGAAACTTTCCCCTCTCTTACCATGTTTAAGTTTAATAATGTAATTCTTTGGAGATATCTTTGGAGCACTGTGCATGTAACCCACATGTCTCGTTACGACGATGATTTATTATCTATTTAACAAGGGACAGCACTGCCCTGTACACCTTATCTCGTGGTGCATAAATAGAACCCTTTGAATTTTGTGTCATGATACTTGTTAACATACTTTCAGTCATTTATAACCTCCAAAACATAATGATTTTTTAGCAAAAGTAAAAATTCCCAATCGACCGGGTCATGGGGGGGTTGTTTAAAATTCGAGTATTTTAAAACAATAATTTTTAATGCTCAGCTTATATTCATGATAACTGCATGTTGAATTTTGTCAAATCCTGTGTCAGAAACTGGCCAGTGAGGAGAGTTTCTGTCCTTTTGGGTTTCCAGAATAAAATTGTGACGTGTTCTTCATGAACGCTGTTTGGAATCCAAATCTGTCCCTTCTTATGATCCGTTTACATGTCAACATATCCGTGCGTTCTTATAGTTGTTAGAAAGGAATCAAAAACTACATTTCTACTTTAATCATTTAGAAACCGTGCTTGGTGTTGCAAATATATATTGACACATGAGACAGTACTGGAAAATGTTTCTGCTGTTTCAATTGCAGGTTTACTTTCACTGAGCTTAAAGGCACTATATCGATAACGGTGAAGTGTTTCTCTAAACATAAATAATGCTTTTCTCTCAATAACACTAACTTTCACCCCTCAGCGAATCTACCATCTACCATCTAATACTTACGAATTTAGATTACAATATTCAATGTAAAAGTTCGAATGGATTAATGCAACGTTGCATTTAATCGACTCTCACGGCGTCCACCGACCGAACATTATTTCAAGCGAACCCCATAGAGTTATGTCCCTTGGAGCGCTCTTTGCAAATCCTACGCACAGCTTGTGACTGAAACCAGTTCTGCAAACACTGACAACACCGCATGCGACAGTTTTCGATGTACGAAGCAATTGTTTCCATTCCATATATGGCAAGTATTCTTGGGAAGCTGTTCGGGTCGAAGTTTCAATTATCGCGTTTAGGCAAGTCGTAAGGGATAATAAGTCTTTTATTACATCAATTAGAAGCTAAAGTTAGTGCATATGCCCCAATACATATAATATTGGCCAAAATATTGTCGAAAATGTGTGACATTGTGCTTTTAAGGGACAATTATACCTGTGATGTGGCGTTGTATGTTCCACAAGTGCCACTGAAGCCGACAGTGAGACACTGGCCTTGTATATCCGATGGGATCCTGTTTTGATTGTCAGTTATATTTCCAACTAGATCGGCAGTGCATCTATTAGAGGTGTAGCCAGAGACGGTGATTAGAGGCCTGTATGTGTTGATAGGGTTCATGCAGATCGTCATCTTGTTGTTGTTACAGGAAGTGATGGTTGCTAGGCATTGGCAATATGGTCATCAACATACGAAGTAACAGATATGATAAGCAACGGTCTATGAACACATGTTTACGTTTGAAAATGTATCCATGTAATGTCTAGTGTTTTATTGTCAGAACGGTTCATGGTTGTCAATAGACACAAGGTCAGATCCTGCAAAATGATCGTATCAATCCCTTTTCAAAATACACCTGAGGTACAAATTTGGACAATTATGTTTTTAAGTTTGTTTGCCGACTTTCTAGATTTATGACTGCGGTCTGTATGTAATCGAGTCTGAACCCGACAATCCAATGACTAGCATCATGACAGTCTAGTCGTAATTGGGATACGACATGTGTCAACTAAGTCAGCGCGATCCCCTTTTCGCCTCTTACGACAAGCATGGATCGCTGAACATCTTCACAGGTCATCACCACAACCAGATGAAAATTTGACAAAAAGGTAGTGAGGAAACATTTCATTCGGAAGTCATAAAAAGTAACGATGACACGATATTTGGTTAAATTAATGTCATCATGTCCCATGCTCCATATTCTGTTACAGTTATAATTAGACCATAGTAACATGTCTGTATTAAGATCCGCAGGGACGCTGAAGTGTCTTATTTCATTCGATTCAATTATCAGCATTTACCAGAGAATTTAAACTGTAAAATATGAACATACTTCTCTTGAGTTCGCACTTCCCTTCATCACCACTGTAATAGCCCGAGTTACACACACATGCGCCAACTGACCCATCTGAGACGCACCGACCCTTTCTTCCACAATCCGTGCCAGCACAGCCTGTGCCATTGATGTTAGCTGCAATGGACACACAATAATACAAATGTCGCAAGCTCCGCGCCATTACATGTTCGGACTATAGGAACCGCCGCCATATAGCTGGAATATTGCAGAGTGCGGTGTAACATTAAACTCACCTTTACTAAATGATGAAAATATTCTCAGTCCTGTACGAAACGCCAAGCGCAGCTACAACTTACATTGAATAATCCCGCAGTTGTCCCCTGTTCTGTCAGGAGCGGTGGAACAGTCACAAGTCGAACCGCTTGGCAGACAGGTCCCCGCATCGCAAGTAACACCGTACCGGTTACAGTTGAATGGAACCGTGCCTGAAATAAGGATGGAAAAGCAATAAGTTCGACACATGTGCAAAAATTAACGGCCAAGATTTTTTGGGATGTTTTGGAGGGGTTGAAAAATAATTTGACCTCAGGTTTTACGCGCGGTCACACACGCAAGCTATTCCCCACGCAAGCTATTTTTTGAACGAGAGGGGGCCACTTGCTGGTAGAACGCCCGGGTGTTCCAGAATTACATTTCATTTACTTATGTTTTTCAGTGGTTCATTACATAGATGGAAAATACATGCTCAATGTTAGAAACAACACGCTACTTACGATCGTCGTCTTTGATGCATCCCTTGATGGTGATAGGATCATAACCCGGAGCACTGATTGTAATTGAGAACTCTTCAGTTGACTCGACAACCTTGAACACAATACATGTATAACTTCAAGAAAGAAAGATGGCATACGACATCACTACAGAAGGAGAGGGGTGTGCACCCCACTTCTGTCCGGAAAGTTTATTGAATGTCCATTGAAACTCTCGTTAAAACCAAGTGTGTGCCACACACCCCCCCCACCTTCTCAATAGTGCCACCACCCTTTTTTCATAAACGCTGTTTCAGCCCCTGGTGTAAACTCTCATTATGATCAGGTATGTTCAAGATACCTCTGCACAGATCAGACAATAGGCAAATATCATATTGAATAGCGAGCATGAGCAGTCAGATCGCATCCACCATCGCTGTCGTCACTTGTCTATACATAAATGTTTGTCCAAAACAATGAAGTTTGGCTGGACTGGTCTTACCAAATCATCCGTGATGGGTACTTCCAGGTAAGCATTTCTCTTTCCGTCTTGAAAGGTGAGGGTTGTGACACTGTCGACGTAGTCGCTGGTTGAATCTGCATCCACGTCTGAGTAGGTCACTGACGCATTCATTGCAAGCGTATCTGATGATGGTCTCCTTATTCGTATGACCAGTGGGGTCAGGCTCTCTTTGACACATGTTCTTGCATTTGCGCTGAAAGCCAGTGGCGCATTTGTCGTCGGAATTGTCGTGACCTCAGGCGGAATTGTCGTGACCGCAGGCGGAATTGTTGTCGTAGGCGGATCTGTTGATGAGGTGTATTTAAGGCATAATTAAGGCATACCAAAGCTGCCGATAATTCAGTAAAAGTGAAAATAGGTGCCAATGCACATCAAGCCAGGCATTGACACAGTAAAGGATGATATGTCTATAGTTTTAACTAATAGTTCAATTCCTGTGGGGATACAAAATACATTGATGATATTCACCAACGCACTATTTTGTCAAGGAGTACATGTCACATACGATAACATACAAGTTATCAGTTACCGAGAGAGAGGCGGAACATTGATGAATTCATCATACCGCTGTATTGAAGAAATGTTCAATACCTGATTTTGATTCATGGACTCATGTTAGTGATATAGAAGGACAACTGACTAATTATTTAGCAGAAATTTATCCGTCGCTTCTAAATAGAAAAAGTAAGTGTCTCCCATTTTGTAAGTGTTGATACTTCTGCTTAACAGTTCACTGGTCATGATCAGACATTCGTTACCATACCAACTGGCATTACTGAATGTAATGCCTGCTGGCTGTAACCCAAAATCAATATATATAACAAAGTATGACTCGCTCTGTAATAGGTTGTTACAAATTACAACCAAGCTCAACTGGCTTAAACTTAATGTTACTGCACATAATCAACTATAGCAGAGCGAAACAGGTAGTCGTTCATGTAAACTTATATAAAACTATCGTTACCCGAAATGCAGAATAATACATCAAGTGGTGTGTATCCTATGGCTGAAAACCTTAAAGTGAAGCTCTCCTCGCCCTCTGTAATCTGCAACAGAATAAAACAGTTAATTACAGTAACGATTAAAGCGCACGCCTATCATAAAGCTCGCGCCTTAAAAAGGTCAAATGAAGGAAACACAAATCTAACTGTCCATCCATTTGTTTACATGTTATTGAAGAAGCTGTCGTAATGCCCACACCAGATTTAACACAATAACACCTTAACAATAAATGAAGAGGGTTCTACAATTATATACAGGATAATCTGATTCAGCCTCTGAATGCTCTAATTTCTACTGTTAGTAACTATTGTTTCTTTTCAAGGACAGATGAGTTTAATTTGCCCTCTTTCTATGAGAAAGGTTTCAGAAAATTTCAGCTAATACTGATGAAGTTAATATTTCAATCGAAAGATTTATGATTTTTGGCTGTGGCTTGCATAATTTCCCAGCGCCGCTTTGTATTCACATGGTTTGTTGAGACGTTTTATATGATGGATGGTTCAATGGAATATATAACAATGGTAATCTGTTATCTTTGTGTCGGTTGCACCATTTCAGTGATGTCTTGAGTGTGCAAAACATTCCAGATTCAAACATTTATTTATCAAGAAATGAGTATGTAAATACATATCAATAACTCAATACAAACATACCCCATCATCGACAGGATCGATAACTATTTGAAAATTGGGTGAGACAGTGAATGTTCCGGCTGTTCCCATCGGAAGGGTATAATCCGCCGGGAACGTGGCGGAATCATCAAGTGTTTCAATCGTAAATGAAGGTCCAAACGCTCCACCGCTTCGAATAAGATTGAATGAAATTGGAGTTCCCTCCTCAAGTGGAATACATCCCGTTGAGGGCGATAAGTCAGTTGTAAAGGATGGCAGTTGAGCACCTGAAGAAACGAAATAAATTGATCATTGAACGGCATTTAATTGTGGGATAAATCTTAATCATGACATTCTATATTAACAGAATTTATTCGTGTTTCTCCAAGCACTGTTCAATCGAACCATGTGAAATAACAAGGTCAAATGTCTGGTAGCTATTAACTAATGCATTGTAACCAAAGCATGGAAACAAAGCACCGCTTCAACGCCCCAAATTGCATGTGTCCTACCTTTAACAGTCGTGGAATTCACCTGTCAGTTTTCCAAGGATACCAAAGGCATGTAGCTTTACACATAATGTATCCAGCAGTTCGAACTAATTCGGATAAAACATTGACTTTAAACACAAGTAGTAACAAATCGATTGTTGTGGCCTTGTCCGTGTTGGTCTACATATATCAACGGAGCAGTGCTCGGAACAGAACAATTGTTCCAAAAAATAAAATCATAAAATATCCATTCAAATGTAGAATGGTAACCATGGGAACGTGTCAACAGGCATGTGCTGCTTGATAATTGTGAATCTGGCAAAACAAAACTGGTTTGGGGGAACCAGAGATTTCCAACGATACCACAACACCTTGATATACCTCGGGTTGACGTATTACAAATTTTGCCTTTGACATCACTGCTCTATTAATGAATGAGTCCAGCCAACCCCCTAGCCCCCTCACAATACACCGACAGCCTGAGGTAACTGATGCCATGTGATATAATGATATATAAAGGGACTCAATACAAACGTGTCAATCTATTGGCATTTCATATCTTAATTCACAATGTAATAGGGTCATCTCACTGAGATTTGCATTCATCGTTGAACTTCAGATGACCAAATATTTAACAAAATGACTGACCAAAGTGCCCTCCTGTCCATTAGCTTATTTACCATGAAACGTCAATCTTTCACGTGATTCCGTGAATCATTTTCAAATCCAACTAGAATCACGCAACCTTATCACCAAATAATACCATCCCCAAGTGGATTATTCGATCCTGAACTCTGCAACAACAACAAAGGAACACAAATGTGGGTTTCAGAAGTTTATGTATAAAATAAATGATAAACAGATCATGATAAATTGTTCACATTCACTAACCAAGATTTATCCTGACACACATGAAAGAATTGAATGTCAAGGTGAAGGTCACCTGTTCTCTATGTCATGTATACCATGATAGTCCGGAAGAAATCAGATTTTAGACTGGGGAATGTCCACCGACTCTTCCTGAAGTGCTTGTGCCAACTATTGGAGGTTGCTGACGTGGTCGCAGACGCTGATCAAGAGCATCCCATAAATGTTCGATGGAGTTTAGTTCTGGAGACCATGAGGGCTAAAGCAGTACTTGGATGTTGTGGTTCGTCGAAAAGGCCTTTGTCAGTCTTGTCGTTTGGGGTCGGGCGTTGTCGTGTGGAAATATGACTTGTCACTAACTCAAACAGGTCTTCATTGCTGTTGTGGCCATACCCTGTGTCATTGACGAAACTGACAGGAGGAACTGGTTGTCTCGGGCGAATACCTGCGCCGCGGAGACGGTTCCTTACTGTCTGAGCAGAAATCCAAGCCAATCCTGGTAATAACGTAGTTGCAGTGGTGGTCGTAGTGGCCGTGGTGGTCGTGGTGGCCGTTATGAGTCTGTCACGTAAGAAATGAACCCATTTGTCAAGCGTGGTGGACCGCATCTTGGTAGAATACATGCCAACACCTGTTTCAGATAACTGTTCCATAGACCCCTGTTTCCGACAGCTGTTCCATAGACCCCTGTTTCCGACAGCTGTTCCATAGACCCCTGTTTCAGATAACTGTTCCATAGCCCCCTGTTTCAGGTAACTGTTCCATAGACCCCTGTGTCAGATAGCTGTTCCATAGACCCCTGTTTCAGGTAACTGTTCCATAGACACCTGTTTCAGATAACTGTTCCATAGCCCCCTGTGTCAGATAACTGTTCAATAGCCCCCTGTTTCAGGTAATGGTGCTTGACGATACGTGGAAAGAATGGCTGCGGCCGACGCTCAGTTGCCTGACTACAGTCGGCAGCTGTTCCATAGACCCCTGTTTCAGATAAGTGTTCCATAGACCCCTGTGTCAGTTAACTGTTCCATAGTGCCCTGTTTCAGATAACTGTTCCATAGACCCCTGTGTAAGATAACTGTTCCATAGTGCCCTGTTTCCGACAGCTGTTCCATAGACCCCTGTGTCAGATAACTGTTCCATAGAGCCCTGTTTCAGATAACTGTTCCATAGACCCCTGTTTCAGGTAACTGTTCCATAGAGCCCTGTTTCAGGTAACTGTTCCATAGAGCCCTGTTTCAGATAACTGTTCCATAGACCCCTGTGTCAGATAACTGTTCCATAGAGCCCTGTTTCAGATAACTGTTCCATAGACCCCTGTGTCAGATAACTGTTCCATAGACCCCTGTTTCCGACAGCTGTTCCATAGACCCCTGTTTCCGACAGCTGTTCCATAGACCCCTGTGTCAGATAGCTGTTCCATAGAGCCCTGTTTCAGATAACTGGTCAATAGACCCCTGTGTCAGATAGTTGTTCCATAGACCCCAGTGTCAGATACCTTTTCCATAGACCCCTGTTTCCGACAGCTGTTCCATAGACCCCTGTTTCCGACAGCTGTTCCATAGACCCCTGTGTCAGATAACTGTTCCATAGACCCCTGTGTCAGATAGCTGTTCCATAGACCCCTGTGTCAGATAACTGTTCCATAGAGCCCTGTTTCAGATAACTGTTCCATAGACCCCTGTGTCAGATAGCTGTTTCTTAGACCCCTGTTTCAGATACCTGTTCCATAGACCCCTGTTTCAGATACCTGTTCCATAGCCCCCTGTGTCAGATAACTGTTCCATAGACCCCTGTGTCAGATAGCTGTTTCTTAGACCCCTGTTTCAGATACCTGTTCCATAGACCCCTCTTTCAGATAACTGTTCCATAGACCCCTGTTTCAGATAACTGTTCCATAGACCCCTGTGTCAGATAGCTGTTCCACAGACCCCTGTGTCAGATAACTGTTTCATAGACCCCTGTGTCAGATAGCTGTTCCATAGACCCCTGTGTCAGATAACTGTTCCATAGCCCCCTGTGTCAGATAGCTGTTCCATAGACCCCTGTGCCACATAGCTGTTCCATAGACCCCTGTGTCAGATAACTGTTCCATAGACCCCTGTGTCAGATAACTGTTCCATAGACCCCTGTGTCAGATAACTGTTCCATAGACCCCTGTTTCAGGTAACTGTTCCATAGACCCCTGTTTCAGATAACTGTTCCATAGCCCCCTGTGTCAGATAACTGTTCCATAGACCCCTGTTTCAGGTAATGGTGCTTGACGATACGTGGAAAGAATGGCTGCGGCCGACGCTCAGTTGCCTGACTACAGTCGGCCGATGGCGTTGTTGCTTCTGTTAGTCTTGGCATGTTTTCACTTTCCACTTGCTGTGCAATTGTGATGGCAGTCAAATAGAAACCCGTCGTTTTTATAGCCCAGATATTAATGTTTCACGTTCATATTATGCTGTGTTTGACTGCCACGCTCGCAGGTGGCTGAGTGTTTGCGTTTTCCCCCACTTTTTTGGCCGTACTTTATTCTACACGTACAAATCTGTCTGGATGCATGTAGACATGTGAAATATATATTTGGTATTTATTCTGTATTGATATCACTAAAACACTGTCAGACATTTCCTGATTTTATACTTTTTATCTTATTTTGGCAGGACATATTTTGTAACAGTATAACACTGAATTAGCACTGCATCTGTAGCAGGTAAATGGGCCAAGCTATCAAGTGCGTTGCCTTACCTCCTTTCTCCACATGGCACACCATCAGTACAACGACGAAGGTGCAGATGGTGTTTAAGAACATCTTCTCAGTTGTTCCTGAAAAACACAAAAACGACTAGAAACATATCTTAGAATCAGTTTTGTTTGAGTGGCATTCTAGAAGTTGGTGGTATAGGGATGACAAGACTTTATTTTAACAATGGCGACGTTTCGGTATAGATTCTTATACCGTTTTCAAGCATGTCACTGATGCTTGAAAACGGTATAAGAATCTATACCGAAATAATATAATTCATTTTGAACGACAAGGTCTGTATGTTGTTCTTAGTTGGCGACTTTAATTAAAATCCTCTCAAATCCCATGCATATTTGTACTGTTTGCAACCATCCTGTAGCATGACTGACGTCTTTGTTGAGGTACGATCAGCCCAGTCACTGATGTAATAACCTCTTTTGTATAATTAGCAACTCGTTTCCAGTGTATCTGCATGTAGTCATACTTCCACATCTTGAATATCAAGACAGATAAAGTGATTGAATTCGACCGAATTTCTATGCACTATAAATATACTCCAGAAGATAATTAGGGCATGTGCAAAACAGTTAATTACAGAGGTAAGGCATCGACTAATGGCAATGGCTGGTTTAGAACATGGATATACTGTGTATCAACAGAACATGTTGGCGGTGTTTGTAAGGGTGCATAAACGAACGACGAAAGGGTGTGTGCATTTTAGAAACCATTTTAAACTTTGAGATACCTGATCCATAATTGGTCATAACCTAGTAGCCGGGAGAATGTTTGGTTGCTGGATTTAGTCACGAGACAAAAGGTGAACCAGTCTGTCGAGCAAGGACACGACCATTGGCCCCAGTCTGTTGTCCCTGCAGTACTGTCAATTTACCATTTCATGTACAGTTAATGCAGGAGTAGTAACCCCTCCTCATGTCATTGCATATGCATCCCTAAATCTGTCAGGTCACTTCAGGTTGTTGGTTGTCAGAATACCATACGCGATGGCGGATAACGATTCCTAATCGTGTGGTCAATGGCTTGACAAACAGTGACCACAAAATTTAAATTCATATTCTGCTGGTCCGATCATGAAGATACTCCTGAACACTGTTCCAAAGTCTGTAAATGGCCGACACATCGAACATACAAAGTCTGCAAATAACATGCCTGTGTTACACCGAACAAACTGACATCCCCTCGTTGAGTTCTATCAGTCCGAAGCATACTTTATACCGGTATATAGTAACGAGCAGAAAAATTGCGACAAAAAACTTTATTCTGTGGACTCGATCCTACTATCAAAAAAAGCCGAAATACATTGTTTCTAGCCGCCAGTAGCTTGCCTCGTTGGTATGGAATTATTTCCCTTGGGTTCCGGGATGGCTTGATCACGTGACCTCGTTTCTCGCAGACGATACCGAAGCTTTGTCATGACGTTACAAAACAACAGAAATCGACTCTTGGCATATTATGAAACAGGTATTACATCCGTAACTAGACTCGTGAAACTGACTGGACTGCATCGGGCCTCTATTTACCGAAATTTGAAGAAATTTGACGCAGGGTTAGGGACAGAGCGACAGGCTGGATCTGGACGTCGTGCTACTCTTGGGGCAAATGGCAGAAGACGTATCGCGCGTCTCGCAGCGGCGTACCCAAACTGGTCTGCAAAACAGCTTGCTGTGAAGGCGTCAAGTCAAGGAACCCCTAAGGTATAAGAATGGACAATCAGAAGGTCTTTAAAGCAATCTGGATATGTCAAGCGAGTGCCGAAGATAGTTCCATTGATGACAACAGCACATATGGAGAAAAGGTTCGAGTGGTGCAGAGAAATGCAGGGTACAGACTTTTCAAATGTGATTTTTACGGACGAATCAAAGTTTCAGTTTTATAGGATCACAAGAAAGAGGAAGTCAAGAGGTGGACGTAGCTGCAAAATGGGTCCGAAGTTCTCACCCAGTGTCACGGTTTAGGGTGGTATAGGCAAACTCGGGGTAACGCCGCTGCTAACTATTACAGGAAGGATGGATTCACGCAAGAACTGTCAACTAATACAAGAAGGCATAGTGGAATCCCACATAGGACAGAGTGGAATACCTTTCAAACTTTTACAAGTGCACCTGAACACAAGTCAAGACACACCTGTAACTGATTTGAAACGAGTCACGTGACCTTACAGAAATTTCCAGCAGCATCACCAGACCTGAACCCAATTGAAAACGTGTGGCAGATTATGAAGGACAAATTAGAAAAGTAGGAACCGAGGAGTGTCGTTCAGTGGTCTAATCTCATCAGTCAAATATGGGTGGGCCTACCCCAGGACTACAAAGACAATTTCATTAACAGCATGGGACGCTGTATTCAGCAGTGCATCGAGGGAAACGGTGGACTAACAGACTATTGACTTGCATAAATGTAAACTTTAGTATCCAGAGTGGATGTATGAAAATATAACTGAATTTATCAGTAAATAGATTTTGAAACTACGTCTGTGATAAGTCGCATTTGTTCTGCTCGTTACTGTACGTTCATCACGCCGGGGGCTACAAGCCCCCGTCTTATTACTAATATATCTTTATAATAAAAGCAAAGATCATATTTGTTACTGTGGATATTAACAGTCGAACTTCGACAATACTAGTGACTCCGACGTTGCTTTGGAACTTTCCTTGAAATGTCAAAATATATCGATAATAACCCCTGCCAACGTGCAAGGGGGCATTGCATGGTTCACGTGGAATGTGTCTGGGTTGTCGAGGCGTTTAGGTTTGGTTCCCAACCCGTCCATTGCTGACTGTCATTTTCCAAGTTGATCATTCAAAAAGCGTCAGATCATGACAATCATAAACCCTTACAGTTTTTAGAGTATATGCAGTGAACCTCCTGTAAATCTGCAACTTGTTTGTAAGTTTAGTTAAAACATATAAACTGTTCAGAAAGATCAGCGCCACTCTTCCCGAAGATCCGGGAAATACTCTTGGAGGGAGCAACATGATGTCCTTATCCGTTGTTTCTGGACTCTTAAAACACTATCCGTATTTGGACGCCCATTGTCATTTTGATAATAATGCATAAACAAAATCTCATCATATAGTCGAAATTGTACACCCATTAAACAAACTTACATTGTCTTAAAAAGTACACCTTCAGTGGTGTTCTAGATTATCTACTGTAAATCCACATGGTCCCTAGTATGGCGATTTACTTTCAGTTGCTGGTGAACCATAGCCCGTGTTTCTATATTGTATTCTCCTGTACTGTAGTAATGTTTCAGTGCTTACATGCTAGCTTTAACTTGCTATCTGTGATAACCAACTTTGTTTACCTTGAGTTGCTGGTGAACTATAGCCCGCGTTTTATATTATATTATCCTGAATTGTAGTAAATGTTTTAATGCTTACATTCTAGCTTTAAATTTCTATCTGTGATAACCAAGTTGTTTGACTCTCCTTTGTTGACATATTTTGAATTGAGTGAGTGAGTTTTGGTTTTACGCCGCTGTTAGCAATATTCCAGTAATATCACGGCGGGGGACTCCAGAAATAGGCTTCACACATTGTACCCATGTGGGGAATCGAACCCATGTCTTCAGCGTTATGAGCGAACGCTTTAATCACTAGGCTACCCCACCGCCCCGTCAAATTTTGAAAAATAACTTTATTTGTTATTAAAGTATATATTGCTTTAGTCACGATATGGCTGAACTATTGCCAATGTGACTTTAAATTCAAACTTTAAACTCACTCACTCTAGATAACCTACAATGGATATACGTACATGTATATCCCTCCATGCGGGTTCCCTACAGTGGTCGTAAGAAGGGATCAGGTAGTCATGCTATAAGTGACCGCGAACCCCAATTGTATGAATCATTGGTCACAATATAGATGACTGTATTGTCTTGTCCAGAGTTGGTTGCTGGCTGCAAGCAGTGGTCTTATCGAGAATGTTGCTGATTGTGACGATAAACAACAAAGAGTGAGTGAGAATGGGTTTACGCCGCTTTTACCAATATTCCAGCAATATCACAGCGGGGGACACCAGAAACAGCAAGGAAGCAAATAATTATAGGATACAAATATGGAAACGATTCGGTTTTCATAAACTTGAGACATGTAAAGGTGTCGAAGTAGGTGTTTGTGTCTACTTACCAAGATCTGCCGAAAAGGTGTTCCAGATGTTAGGCCACACTCTGAACTGGGAGGTTGCAGCCCTCTTCAGAAATGTGAAGAGACTGATCGCCGTAAGAGGCAGGGGGCTTATATACGTATTACTCCACCTAAGAATCGCCCGAGCTTCTCGTTATGCTTTAGCGCTCTGGATGAGTGAGACAGTTTCAAACTAGTTGTTACTAACAAAAGAAATTCTTAATTCATATATGCCGAACCAATTTATACAAAATGTGTTTCGTCACACCTTGTAATCATTCGGTGCATGTGGCTAGTCTTGCGAGTCCGTTCTGGAAGTTTTGACAACGATCTATAGCAATACGAAAGAACGATGTAGAGATGAAACACAGCGAGTTTACCTATCGAAATGAAAGGTTTCCATTGAATTGTGTCAGATGCGGAGGAGGCCAAATCAACGACCAGTATGTGACTCGGTGATGGTTCAGGGCAAACTGACAACGTATAGCAACATGCACGACGTCAACATCACCTTCTTCCGATTATCGACCGATGGGGGGAGTTTCGTTCTTATTCAAGATATCCGGACCTGAACCCGATAGAGCATATGGGGAAGGTAAAGCGATAGACGTGTACGTCCAAGCCAAACATACGAATCAATTACTTGCGCAACTGGCCAATGTGTTGCAAAAAGAAGGCATGAGTATGTAGACCGAATCTGTTGACTTTATCTAATTTTGCCTGTGGCCAGATGTAGAGTCCTGAAAACCGCACATGAGGTCACACACCAGGCACTGATCGGAACGGTCCCACTACACCACATCCCAGCCTCTCATGGACGTACGAGTCTTACGACAAGGACAATCAATATTATCATTACGTCCGCTGCACATGTGACTATGGCCATGCTACTTTATGTCACTTTAAATAAAATGTCCACATTTTTAGTGGAAACAATTTTCAAAGCCACTATAAACGTTCTGCTTTTTGTTCAGAAGCATTATAATGATCGCCCCTTTCATTCACTCTAAAGCACTGATAGTCGTCCAAGCATAGCGTCTGAAGAGAGTCCTTTGAACAGAAAGATTTCTCCTGATCCGTTGGAAACAGAGCAAGTCCCTGTACACGTCTATTTGATGAGTAGGCAACTTTCAAACAATATATAATCACATGTATAAGTTGTACTATTGTAAGAGGTATATCTTTCATGAATTTAGTATACTCAGTCACCTATAAAGAGGGTAATTTGCACGATTCTGACCACACCTAAGTCAATGTGTTTTTGTGTCACTATCAAATAGTGATCACATGAGTCGACCTTCTACCCAATCTATGGCACCATACAGTGGCAAGTCTACAGCGGCAAGTCAACTGTTAATCTTAACCAACATGGGAATATATGTCAAAGTCCAAAAAGGGATTTGATTCGGACATCATTTTGGTTGCTGATGAATCAAATTTTAAGAATTGTCCTCTTCAATAAAATGTTCCAAATCTTTACTGATGTTTTGAATATCGTAACAGAACTCGGAGACCTTTGTTCATAGACAACGTTTGAAAGGTTTCACATTGATCAGTCTATGAAAATTATAACCTTGATCAAGCAACGTTTGCATAACAGTAATATGATAATCTTTGACATATTCGCCGAATAAGCATCCATGCTTGTATCTGCTTGAATTGAAGGCACCAACGGCTAGGGCTGCTTGAATTGCTCTAGACAAAAGAGAAGCTGACTACTGGAAAATAACATTATTTTCTAGTTATTCAGTCTTGTGGGGAGGCGAGAAACTATGGCCCTAGTGATGCCCTCTGGCTTGTCCATTTCATTCACTGAAATGAGATTCATTTTCAACAGTCCTATGATTACTTAAAGCAAAATGCGAACATAAGAAACTAACCTTTTGCTTAAAGTTTCAAGTCTCAGCATTGTACCGTCATTACACGTTACGTCATTGTGTTTCTAAGCAATATGACACTTCATAGAACATGCGTGGTTCTGCATTCGGAATTGATTGTTGAATGCATTTTTTTGGTTAATTTGTTAAAAATACTTGCTGAAGCTAATGAGATATAATGTATGCTATTACATTTCTTGAAGTGTTGAATAGATATGCGCCGAACCTATTTTTAAAACGGTAATAATTAATTTGAAAGAAAACATAAAATGTTATGCTTATCAACATACTTCGACTGAGACATATTGACATCGTATGCATGCCTATTAGTGTGATTACACATTTAATTTAGTTCAGAATTCAGCTAAAGAATCTGTTGGTTTGGGGCACACCTCTACACTTTCATTCCCAGTTGGACTAGTGCACTATTAAAAAAAAAAGAAACGCATAGGTGGTTTTGAGAATATTGGACTCAAGTAGTGCGGCAAGAACAATATATTTCTTTCCAAAGTTTTATCTTTGTGCAGTTGTAAACAGATTCAGCGCCAAAACGCGGTGAATTTAACTTTTCCCCTTGTTTAAGAAGGGTTTGAAGAAATATTTGCCAAACGTCACCAAGCAAATATGCAAAGCAAACAACACGTGCAAGAAAATTTTGCGGTATCGATCACTATAAGGAGGCAAACGTTGTGTTTCATTTTGTCATTCATTTTTGCCTGGAAAAGAGGAAATAATCATGCCATGACTGAGTGACGCCAATAGAAACATCGCCATAGGCCGCCATGAAGCTGGGGAGCTGTAGTCTGCAGTTGCCGGACATTTCAACGTTCAGGAGAGCACCGTATATCTCCTCTTTCCTGCAGACCAGTTCCGCCCATGATCACCCGAGAAGCGGCCGTCCTACCAAGTTACCACCCACGTCCAGGACCGCTGCATCTGGGCTGCTCACTTGTGTCAGCGTCTTACCACAGCCGTGGAGACTGCATCAGACGCATCCCTGGTTTGAGAAGAATTTCGACCAAACTGTCAGGAATCGATTGTCTGAAGTGGGGATTCGACCAAGAACGCCAGTTGTCGCCCTTGTTTTGAGAGATTTCCATCGGCGCAATCGCTTGCGGTGGTGTCGTTGAGTCCGGAACTGGAACCTTAGCAACTGGAGGCGAGTTTGGTTCAGTGATGAATCACGATTTCATCTTCAGCGGCGAGATGGAAGAAATGAACATTTTGATCCTAACTGCATTCGACAGGTCGACAGATTCGGTGTAGAGAGTGTCATCGTTTGGGGTGTGATATCCGGCACACAAAGATCTGATTTAGTGGTGGTTCAGGGGAATTTGACAACAAATGGGTACATCAACGAAGTCCTTGCCCGTCACATGCTTTAGATTATGTATCGACAGAGGGAGCTGTACCTGCATGACAACGCTACTTCACATACAGCACGCGTCACGGTCCGCTATCTTGCCAATTCTAACGTTTATGTTTTGCGGATGAACTCGATAAACGTGTACGACAACGTCAAAACATGCCTCAGATACATCCACAACTGGCCATAGCATTGCAGGAAGAGTGGGAAAGAATTCCGGCGCCTAGCAGTAATTGCTGCCAATGGTGGCGATACAAAGTACTGACTTGAAATCACGCCATCTTGTTGACTCAAGTAAACAGAAACACAACAATAAGAGCTGCTGCGAACTCTTTGTCTACAAACGTGTGAATTTTCACCTTTTTACCATTGAAATTATATGAAAATATTGCTCTTAAACTAACGCAATAAATACTTCTACAAATGGCTTGTGCTTTTCATGTTTGAAGAGTGTATATTCTTATAGTATCTTTTAGAGTTTGAAAATACAAATATTGTAAGAAAAATATTCCTTGTTTCTGTAAATGCTATTCAGAACGTAAATCAACGTACGTATTATAATCCTACCGAATATATACAGAAATGCATAAATTATTGATCATGTTTCGTATCTGTCACTTTGTATTACATCAGTTCAAACAGGACAGTAAGCATTGGTCTTCTTTCTATAGTATTTGTTGTATCTTAGATAATATATACTTATTTGATGAGATAAATTCATTATAGTTCTGGGAGTAATAATACTTATATCATAGTTCTTATACCCGTGAAGATTCGGGTTAGAATTAATCTTCTGTAACCCATGCTTGTTGTAAGAGGCGACTAACGGGATCGGATGGTTTCCACATCCACGCATATTACAGTGTTATTCCATTTGAAACCCACAAATATCCTGGTTCGAATTGGTCTTCACCTATCCTTGTCGTAAAAAGGCGACTAACGGGATCGGGTGGTCTGACTTGGTTGACGACATGTCATAGTATCCCAATTGCGTAGATCGATGCTCATGCTGTTGATCACTGGATTGTCTGGTCCAGACTCGATAATTTAGAGACCTCCATAAGGTTGAATGTTGCTGAGTGCGGCATAAACCTAAACTCACTCACTCAACGTTCTTTTTCGGCTGTTTTCATGAAGTAATTTCATTCTTAAAACAATCAACGAAATTAACTTTCAGATATATTCTGTTTTTATACATGTATTTAGCATTTAGGTAAACTTGTGCTGCCAAACCAAGTCGTTCATAACACGAAAGTACTTCTAAATATACATTTTAAGTCAGTAACCTTCTACAATTCAAAGCCGTCTACGTTGAAAAGCCTGTTTTCAAAGGCTGACTATTACAAAGAAGATATGCTCCAAAGACCTTCAAAACGCCAGTCATAATGGTATTCCTCAAAAGTTTCCTCAGTCGGGAGATTCTTATTCAAAATTGTATATAAGTATGATAGTAAGTAATCTATGAAGATTCCTTGATGCTAAAGAACTTGTGCACATACCCTGCATATTAAGGTTCGATGGACGTCATCAACACAAGCATCCTTTGTGTCCAGTGAGTGCGTTTTAGGTGTGTCTTTAATGCCCCGCTCTGTTATCTGTCTTTACATTGACATCTTAACTCTTACGTTTTGTCAATTTCATGGAGTAGCTGTGATCCTTTATGTATGCTGGGGCGGCATGATAATTATGTGCAGCTGACAAATTGTTAGTTGGTGCACTTGAGATTTGTCAGGGCTTGAACGTGTCCTACTGTTTGTTAAATGTATGTCCTATAGCTTTATGTGTCACTTTGACTAAATCCCGTTTATCTTAATAAGGTAGGCAACGCTACAT